GTTACATGACTTTTTAAAAGTAATCGAAAAAGTTACACTACAATTACATTTTAAACCAGGTAACTTGTAACTGTAACGGATTACATTTTTAAAGTAACTTACCCAACACTGTAGATAAGACATAGGGAGAGCATTCAAACGTGAATATTACGATAGAGAAAATGATGTCACTGAAGTGTGGACTGCAGTAAAAAACTCTACTCAGCTTTAAGATTACATGAACAGGCTGAGACTGCAGGCATAAAGCTAACAGTAGATAAGGAAGAATAGAAGTACTTGCTAACATCTGAGTCAGAGCCTGTATTACCCGCTGATGCTGTGCACATCTTCAGCTAAGTTGCCCACAGGCTATTTTTATTGAAAATTAGTTTTACACCAGTCTGTGTAAAATATTGCTGTCAGATTTTCTGCATATTCTGCCCTCACTCTGGTTACTAGGTAGATAGAAAACCCGTTGTTAATGATAATTGTCATTAATGAGCTTTATTCAACACGTCACTGGTCAAAGTAAAAGTGCAAAAGAAAAATACAGCATAAAGGGTATGTTAAAATGACATTTGAAGCTAACGCTTGCTTGAGCTGACTTAAATGCTTTTATGGCTCTTTTATTTTCTTTACCGCTCATCCGCAACAGGATCGTGGGGAGAATGAGAGAAGTTAGCGCTAACAAGCATTAGCTTCACATGTCATTTTAGCACCTGGACAGGTGACCAGTCCATCACAGGGTGCTAAGGGCTCAACATTTAATAATGTCAATTTATTTAGCGGACACTTTTATCCAAAGTTCCATTTGTCAGGATTTGAACCTCTGATCTCTGACCTGTTCCAAAGACAGTAGTTTTTACCACTAAACTATTTAGGTGTTGCCTCGCCATCAACTAAAAAATATTATGAACTATTTCTTCCGCTTATTCTGTTGTACACTGGGAAATAAACATGTAACCTGTTTACATGTAAAGTAAAGCTGTAACCAGAGGACACTGATAAACACTTATAAACACAAACACTTAGTGACTTCATTTTTCCAAATTTTCTGAATTAAGTTGAATGGACAATGTAAAATTCACACAGACACAAAAAAGCACAGAACAGCAATGGCTTTCGGAAGAAATTATCCATTGTTTACTTGCTGGATAAGACAGATTTAGAGGAATCAGTGATCCAGAGGAAGATGCAGTCAATGACCAAAGAAGTGGACTGGGGATGATGACCCCATGTGAAAGCTCAGAGAAACTGTTGCATGAGTATCTATTTATCTAGGGAGTGCATCTTGGTGGGTGAGAGGGTGTTTCTCAAAGGCCAAGCTCCCAATGAAACAGTATATAACAGCCAAGCTGACAAGGTGGGGTTTCAAATTATTTGTGTTGGCTATCGAGAATGGTTTCCATTCAACTGCGCACAGGAAAGACCCAGGGTGCTTCTGGGAAAGGGTTTTTCATTCTATGTGGTGGCACAAGATGGATCAGTTGCGGGGTTAGGGTTACCCTAACCCTAACCCTAACCCTAACC